CTGTTGACGCAAGCGCCTGTGCGCGCTCGCTTTAAGTCGGGCTTGTCCCTCTACAGGAGGGATATTCAAAAATAGTCAAAAAATAGTCAGGGGGCTATTGTTTGAGGATTGTTTGACCATTTTGGATTATTTGTTTGATTATTTTCTTTTTTCACCCAAAATCCCCCTGTAGGGGGACACGCCCGACTTAACGCTCGGTCTGTCACGGTGGCAGCTTCAGATCCGCAAGGGAGTTACTCCACTTGGCCACCATGGCGTTTGACCCCGCGATGCTGAAGAAGATGGGCGTCAATGTCGATACATTCGGCGATATGAATGCCTTTGGAGACCCATCGTGGTACCAGGCCTACAACAATCCTGGCTACTACAACGACTCTCACAAGCAGCTTCGCGCGAAGATTCGCGAGTTTGTGGAAGAGGAGATCATGAGCAACGTCCACCAATGGGACGAGGAGGGCAGGATCCCGCAGGAGATCTACCAGAAGATTGCAAAGCTTGGCATGCTGCCAATGTGTGTGGGGCCCCCGTGGCCCAAGGAATACGTCGGCGAGTGCCCCCTCGGCTTCGAGCCAGATTACTTCCACGAGCTGATCATGTACGACGAGCTGTCGCGCTGCGGCTCCGGCGGCTTCCTGTGGGGCCTCGCCGGGGGCCTCTGCATCGGCTTGCCGCCTGTGCTGAAGTGGGGGACGCCGGAGATCAAGCAGAAGGTCGTGCCGGGCGTGATGTCTGCCGAGAAGGTGATCTGCTTGGCGATTACTGAGCCCACGGCTGGTTCCAAGTGTCTCTAACGCTCAGACGACTGCTGTCAAGGAGTCACGATGAAGAAAGTGGGTCCTGAATGAAAGGGGTCCTAAGTTTGTTCGCCGTTTCCGGGCTCTCCAGGCCCTTCCCGAAACGACTCTGGATGAAGGCTGGTCCAGGGGAACGTTCTCGGGTCCAGGACCCGTTTCCCTCATACCATTTTTGCCCCATGCCAAGGTTCGGATGTCGCCAATATCCGGACGACAGCCGTCAAGGAGGGAGACCATTATCTCGTTAACGGCGAGAAGAAGTGGATCACCAACGGCATATTTGCCGACTTCTTCACCGTCGCTGTGCGGACCGGGTCTCAAAAGGACGGGATGAAAGGCATCAGCCTGCTCCTCGTTGAGAAGACAATGCCTGGCGTCAACACGCGCAAGATGAAGTGCAGCGGCGTCTGGTCCAGCGGCACCACCTACGTCACTCTTGAGGACGTGAAAGTCCCAGCGCAGAACCTCATCGGCAAGGACCTGCGGTGCGCAGCAGATTTCGCCCCGCCCCCCCCCCCCAAGCCTCCTATGCTGTGTTCGCGTTTTGACGGTAGAGGTGCTGCCCTTCTCTCATCTCGTTTCCCCTCTCCGCTTGCCTCTCGGGTGCCTCCTGTCTCGCCTCCGCGGGAGCTGCGAGCCGCGAAATTGTTGCCACTCTTGTGGGCTCCTGGGGGGTCCAGCGCGGTGCGGTGTTCCCCAGTCCAGATCAACATCTTGCCATCCCTGGAGATTGCGGCCTGCGACTTTGACGCTATTTTTTGTGGGCTCCACTTTCGTGGGCTCCTGGGGGGTCGAGCGTAGTGCAGTCCTGTTCAGACCAGAATCAAACCTCGCCGTCCCTGGGGATTGCGACCTGCGAAACAGACCTCGCCGCCCCTGGGTGTTGCAAACTGCGTGTTTGTCGCCACCTTCGTGGGCTCCTGGGGCGTCTAGTGCATGGCGGCGCTACCCAGAACGGAATGATTCTTCGCCGTCACTGGGGATTGCAAAGGACCATGAAACTGCCACCACTTTCGTGGGCTCCTGGAGGTCGAGCGTAGCCGTAGCGCGACCCTATTCACACCATAATGAGACCTTGCAATCCCTGGGTGCTGCGAGATGCGAGACTGTCACGACCTACGTTTCGAGTTCCGCTGCGAGTTTCGTGGCATCCTGTGGGGTACAGCAAAGTGCGGCGCTACCCAGACCAGAGTGAGATCTTGCCGTAGCCACCTGGCTGTCATCGGATCTCTGTTGACGATCTGGGGAGGGGGATGATGATGATGCTGACGATGATGATGACGGTGACGATGATGACGATGATGATGATGATGATGATGATGATGATGATGATGATGATGATGATGATGATGATGATGATGTCGATTCTGATGATGGTGATGATCATTATTATGATGATGATCATGTTGCTGATGTTGATGCTGCTGATGTTGATGATGACGGTGACGATGCCGATGACGATGATGATGGTGATGATGATGATGATGATGATGATGATGATGGTGACGACGGTGATGATGACGATGACGATGACGACGATACTGATGATACTGATGCCGACGATGATGATGATGATGATGTTGGTGATGATGCTGGTGATGATGATGACGATTATGATGGTCATGTTGATGGATATGATGATGATGTTGATGATGATGGTCATGATGATGGTTGTTGCTGTGATGGTGATAATGATGCTGATGCTG